GAGGGCAATGAGAGAATTGCAATGTACTCCATACGTCGCTGGATTAAGCTACGCAGAACTATGCATCCATCCAGACTTGAACCTACCTGAAGGGTTCAAGATCCCGAAGTTTGATACCTTCGGAGGGGTGGGCAACCCCATGGCACACCTAAGAGCGTTATGTGACCAACTCGTGGGAGTTGGAAAAGATGAAGCGTTGCTGATGAGGTTCTTCAGCCGAAGCCTATGTGGTGAGGCCCTGGAGTGGTTCACGTCACATGAGACTCGACAGTGGCCCAGTTGGATTGCACTGGCTAAAGATTTCATGGACAGGTTTGCGTACAACGTCGAGATAGTCCCCGATAGGTACTCCTTGGAAAAGATGAAACAGAAATCCACCGAGAGCTATTGAGAATTTGCGTACAGATGGAGGAAGGAGGCAGCGAGGGTGAGGCCTCCAATGACAGAAAAAGAGATTGTAGAGGTGTTCGTGCGGGTGCAGGAGCCCGAGTATTATGACAGGATCATCTTGTTAATCGGCGCCAAGTTCGCCGAAATAGTCAAAGTGGGTGAGACTATTGAAGATGGCCTGAAGTCGGGGAAGATAGCCCGAGTGTCTGCATCGCCTGGATCCTCTGGACTGGTAAGGAAGAAAAGAGAGGAGGTTAACGCTATCTCACACAGGGGAAGAAAGGCCCCCGGAAACTTACCACGTCCCCAAGGCCGCTCCAATCCTCCATCAAAGCCTCATCAAGCCTACCGTCCACAATCAAATCATTCCGGCCACTACAATGCAGCCCCCACTTGTCCAGATGCCCATATCTTATCGTATCAGAATCCGCCCCAAATTCCCCAAAATTTTCCCTCCATATATCCAAACTACCCCCAAGCTTATCAAGTCCCTCCCCATTACCAGAATGTCGCTCACAGCTGCGCTAATGTACAACCGAGCTATCGAGCACCATCCCCCGCATATCAAATACAGACCCAGCATATCAAAACCCCTATCCGAATTACCGAGCCCCAATGCCAAACTACCAAACAAATCCCCATCCCAGATCCCAAGCTCCACGACCAAATGCCCGCAGTTATCAACAAGTCCCTCTCCCACAGCAGGGCGGGTATGATCCCCCTCGCCCCAGGTCTGAGAAGAAGCCCTCCAGAAGCTTCACCGTGTTGTCTGAAAGCAGAACTAAATTGTTCGAAAGATTATCCGCGGCCGGATACATCCACCCTGTGGGACCCAAGCCCGTGGATGTCAATTCCAGATTCTACAGACCGGAGCAGAGATGTGCTTATCATTCCAACAGTGTTGGACATGATACAGAAGACTGTATCAATCTCAAGCACAAGATCAAGGACTTGATTGACCAGGAAGTGGTCTCCCTTCAGCCTGCGGCGCCAAATGTCAACACGAATCCGTTGCCAAATCATAGAGGTGGAAATGCCAACATGATAGAAATTGACAAAGACGAACGTAAAGCCAAGAGAATTACTCCTGTTGTTCAGGAAGACTTGGAAAAGGCTGTTGCTTCTTTGAGCGTCAGGGAAAAGGGAGAGTTTGTCATTCTGACACCTGCAAAGGCTGTTGCCTTGGTGCCCGCAAAGACTCTCGCCAAGCCCAAGTTTGTTATTGAAACGGCCGTGGCTCAAGGAATGACCATATCTGGTAGATGTTACACTCCTGACGAGCTTTCTCTCGGAGGACAAAAGAAAGATCATGCCAAGAGACCGATCAGCGAAGCAGAAGCTGAGGAGTTCTGGAGGAGAATGCAGTCCAAAGACTACTCCATTGTCAAGAACTTGGAGGAGACTCCAGCCCAGATTTCTGTTTGGGCCCTATTGATGAGCTCCTGGTCACACAGACAGGCTTTGACGAAAGCCTTGGATGACACGTATGTGCCCTCAGGTACGAGCAGCGACAATGTAGCTGCTATGATTCATCGAGTCATTCAGGGACATCGCATCAGCTTCTACGATGATGAATTTCCGGCCGAAGGGAGGGTCCACAACAAAGCTCTACACATCACCGTGGTATGCTGCGGAAAGATCGTCAACCGTGTTTTGATAGACGACGGATCTGGCCTGAACATATGTCCCTTGTCCACACTGAAGCAGCTGAGGTTTGACCTCGGAAAGTTGGAGCAAAATCAGGTCATTGTGAGAGCATTCGACGGTGTGCAGAGAGACACGTTGGGAGCTGTAAACCTGACCATCCAAATGGGCCCCGTGGAGTTCGAGGCAAAATTCCAGGTGTTGGATATCGACACCAGCTATAACCTTTTTTTGGGAAGGCCATTCATTCATATGGCTGGAGCCGTCCCCTCCACTCTCCACCAAGTGGTGAAACTAGTATGGAACAATGAAGAACTAGTTATTCACGGGGAAAGGAGCCATTCAGGTAAAAAGGGGCCGATCTTGGATGAAACGCCGCGAAGTTCAGATTTCTACACGGTGGAGTTGGTAAATGCCACCGATGAGAGCTTTGCCCCATAGACTCCCATGCCATCCGTGTACAGAATGATCGCCATGGTGATGCTGCAAAGCGGATTCGAACCAGGTTTCGGATTGGGAAAGAATGCACAAGGGATCATCGAGCTAGTTCCGGTCCTTGCTACAGGATCAAAGTATGGTTTGGGGTACATCCCCACAGATGATGATGTGAAGATGAAGAGGAAAAAGGACCAAGAGTTTTCTAAGCCGATCCCGCCTCTCTATCAATCCTTTCCGGTCCGGGAGCATGTCGAGCCTGAAGACAACGGGGAAGGAATCTGTGGCCTTTTCAGGGAGATTAACGCTGTTATTGAGGAGGAGGTCAACCCAGCTGGCATTCGCGATGCGGAACCAGGGGAGATGCTGCAGAATTGGACTTCTACGCCAATCCTGATGTCCCGGACTCTTGGGTAGAAAGGAATTATTTCATGCATAGTAAAATCGGTGGTTGTCCGGAAGAGGCCCGAGACCCATCATTTCTGCATTGTTCTTGATTTTGAATTTTGTTGTGATGTTTGAAAAAGCGACATGGCCCTGTGCCATGACCCAAGTTCGCATTTTGTTCGATTTAAATGAAAGCCTCCTTATTTTAACTTTGTTTATCAAATTGCTTGTTATATGTTACCTTTCTAATTTTGTCTGTTATGATTTCAGTAACGTAAGTTACAAACCTGCCAATGTCATGTCATGTCATGAGCTAAACGAGCAAAATGAGGCAAATAATGATGAGGTTGACGACTACGAAGAAAGTGGGGAACCAGACCATGTTGCAGAAGAATTTCGATAGTTCGAGAATCTACATAAACCAAATCTGGAGGAGACGGAAATGGTGAAGCTAGGAGATTCAGAATGTGTCAAAGAGGTTAAGATCAGCACCCACCTGAATGAGACTCAGAAGGAGAGCTTGGTTCGTCTGCTTGCCGAATATAGGGATGTGTTCGTTTGGGATGTCGTTGACATGCAAGGGTTAAGTACCGATGTCGTATCTCATAAGCTGCCTATCAACCCATGGTTCAAACTGGTGAAACAAAAGACTCGGAAATTCAAGCCTGAATTGAGTTTGAAGATTAATAAAGAAATCACCAAGCAGATAGAGTCTCGACTGGTAGAAGTAACTCAATACCCAACCTGGTTGGCCAATGTTGTTCCGGTCGCCAAGAAAGATGGAAAAATCAGGATTTGTGTCGATTACAGAGATCTCAACAAGGCTAGTCCAAAGGATAATTTTCCGTTGCCGAATATCTATATTTTGATTGACAACTGTACCAAACATGAGATGCAGTCATTTGTGGATTGTTACGCGGGTTATCACATGATTTTGATGGACGAAGAAGACGCAGAGAAAACGGCCTTCATTACCCCTTGGGGGGTATATCACTATAGGGTGATGCCGTTCGGCCTCAAAAACGCCGGTGCTACTTACATGAGAGCCATGACGACTATCTTTCATGACATGATTCACAAGGAGATTGAAGTGTACGTGGACGACGTCATAATCAAATCCCGCGAGAGTTCGGATCATTTGACACAACTGAAAAAATCCTTTGAACATTTGTGTCGGTACAACTTGAAACTAAATCCCGCCAAATGTGCTTTTGGAGTCCCAGCTGGGAGGTTGTTGGGGTATAGTCAGCAGAAGAGGTATTGAGCTCGACCCTTCCAAGATTAAGGTAATTCAAGAGTTAGCTCCGCCGAAGATGAGAAAAGAAGTGATGAGTTTCTTAGGGAGGTTAAACTATATCAGCCAGTTTATACCACAATCAACAGTGGTATGTGAGCCCATTTTTAAGTTGCTGAAGAAAGACGCCCCAACTAAGTGGACTGAGGAGTGCCAGACCGCTTTCGACGCTATCAAAAGCTACTTGTCTTATCCACCAGTATTGGTCCCTCCACGAGAAGGGAGTCCTTTGTTACTGTATTTGTCGATTTCAGATAGTGCATTTGGATGTGTACTTGGTCAACACGACGAGACGGGGAAGAAAGAGAGGGCTATCTACTACATCAGCAAGAAATTCACTCCGTACGAGTCTCGCTACACTTTGCTGGAGAGAACATGATGTGCTCTGACGTGGCTTGCCCAGAAGCTGAGACACTATTTGTCGTCGTATACTACATATCTTGTCTCCAGAATGGATCCATTAAAGTATATTTTCCAGAAAGCGATGCCGACCGGGAAGTTAGCTAAATGGAAAATGCTGTTGAGTGAGTTTGACATCGTGTACGTGACTCAGAAGGCAATAAAGGCACAAGCTTTGGCTGATCATCTTGCGGAAAATCCCATTGACGAAGAATATGAACCTCTCAAGACATATTTTCACGATGAAGAAGTGTCATTTGTGGGTGAAGATATCTCTGAAGCTTATCCAGGTTGGAGATTATTCTTTGATGGAGCGGCAAACCACCAGGGTAAAGGTGTTGGAGCAGTCTTGGTATCAGAATCTGGTCAACACTATCCTATGGCAGCCAAACTGCGATTCAACTGCACAAACAACATGGCTTAGTACGAAGCTTGCATTCTCGGTTTGAAAATGGCCATTGACATAAATGTTTACAAGTTACTGGTTATTGGAGATTCAGACCTCTTGATTCATCAGATTCAAGGAGAATGGGCTGTGAAGAACCCGAAGATTGTATCTTACGTACAATATGTGCAAAATCTGTGTAAAAGGTTTCGCAAGATCGAGTTCAGACATACTCCCAGAATACAGAATGAATTAGCTGACGCTCTTGCCACCATCGCTTCAATGATCAAACATCCGGATACGGATTACATCGACCCGCTGGATATAGATTTGAAGGAACATCCAGTCCATTGTTCACACGTTGAATCAGAAACAGATGGTTTACCTTGGTATTTTGACATAAAGAGATACTTGGAGTCTGGGGCATATCCAGAAGACGCTACATCTAATCAAAAGAAGTCGATACATCGTATGGCTCTCAATTTCTTTCTGAATGGAGAAGTCCTGTATAGGAGGACTCCAGATCTGGGTCTTTTAAGATGTGTAGACGCTTCTGAAGCTGTGAGGCTCATTGAACAGATACATGCTGGAGTTTGTGGTACACAAATGAACGGGCTTATTTTAGCAAGAAAGATTCTTCGAGCCGGTTATTTCTGGATGACTATGGAGAATGACTGTTGCAAATTCGTACAAAAATGCCACAAATGTCAAGTGCACGGCGATCTGATACGGGTGCCACCTCACGAACTTAATGCTATGAGTTCACCTTGGCCATTTGTATCCTGGGGAATGGATGTCATCGGTCCTATAGAGCCAGCCGCTTCTAATGGACACAGATTCATTTTGGTTGCCATCGATTATTTCACCAAGTGGGTGGAGGCAGCTTCTTACAAATTGATAACCAAGAAAGTGGTGGCCGACTTTGTCCGCAACAATTTGATATGCAGATTTGGAGTTCCAGAATCCATCATTACTGATAACGGCGCAAATATCAACAGTCATTTGATGAGAGAGATATGTGAACAACTTAAGATTATTCACCGAAGGTCAACTGCTTATCGCCCTCAAATGAACGGAGCTGTAGAGGTCGCCAACAAGAACATCAAGAAGATTTTGAGGAAAATGATTGACAAGTGGCGAGGTTGGCATGAAATGTTGCCATATGCTCTACTAGGTTATCGAACAACGGTCAGAACATCGACCGGGGCTACTCCATACTTGCTAGTATATGGAACGGAAGTAGTCGTGCCTGTTGAAGTCGAGATACCGTCATTAAGGATCATCCAAGAAGCTGAGCTAAGTAATGCTGAGTGGGTTAGTAAATGGATTGATCAGTTAGCTTTGATTGATGAGAAGAGGATGGTCGTTGTTTGCCATGGCCAATTGTATAGAAAGAGAATGACTAGCGCTTTTCACAAAAGAGTAAGAGCCAGAAATTTTGAAGTTGGTCAGTTGGTTCTTAAGCGTATTTTTCCTTATCAAGACGAATACAAAAGAAAGTTCGCACCAAACTGGCAAGGTCCTTACATGGTTCGCAAAGTACTATCTGGAGGTGCTTTAGTCTTGTCAGAGATGGATGGCGCTGTATGGCCCAAGCCTATCAACTCAAATGCTGTCAAGAGATACTACGCGTGAAGTTCGTTTTGCATTTTCTATCATTTACTTGTAATCTTCTGTTGCTTGTATTGGTTGGAATTTGAACTCTTATCCCACTTGTAACAAACTACGTCTGACCTGAATTCTTGAGAACGAGATACGTAGGCGGCCTATGTCGGCTTCGGTCACCCCATTTACCCCCTTTAATTATTTTCCTTGTATTTGAACTACCTTCGACCTGAATTCTCAAGAATGAGATACGTAGGCGGCCTTTGTCGGCCTCGGTCGGTTTCTTTGTAAAATTTATTCTTGTTAACCGTTAAGGGGAGCTACGTTTGACCTGATTCCTGCCTCAACGGGATACGTAGGCGCCACAAGGGCTCGGTCATATCTCTCGTAAGATTTTTATTTCCCTTCTACAATAGAAACTGGGACAGAATTTTTGAGAAGGACTCAAAAATTCTCCAGAAGAAGTCTCCTCTTCAGCAAGTCAAACTAAAGACATTTCGAATTTGCGACTAGGACAGAATTTTTGAGAAGATCTCAAAAATTCCGCGATCTATTCGGTTACAATGGAAAGATGAGCAAGATACTAAACTGGGACAGAAATTTTGAGGATGGCCTCAAAATTTCATCATGGGTCTTTCCTACATGTCCGGAATGCTTCTGAAATTAATTCGACAAGCGTCGGGCTCGAAAGAGCTCGTTAAGCCTGACATGACATGACTTGGCGGTGACTTTTTCAAGATAGTATTTCTTAAAAAATTTCTTGTTTCTCTTAAAAATTTCCCTTTTATATTTCATTTGTTTTGGCATAAGATATTTCCTTATCTATCAAGAGTCAGGAAATTGGGAAATCAATTGGAGACATCAAGACAAGGAGCAAACAACCGAAGAGATTGACACTGATCAGTATGTTTAAAACTGACAATTTTTCTGTGGATGCAGGTTTATAGCTTCACTTCGAAATCGGCCGAATTCTTCCGACTGATGAATACGGAGAAGGAGAAAACTATCTCCAAAGCCAGTGATTTTATTGAAAGCAAGAAGCATTTCATATTGTTTAAGCCAAGATGCTTGTGAATGTGTTTGTTTATTTCAAGACATTCCCCAATACATGAAATTTACAAAGTGCCTGGCCAGATTCAAAGGTGAATCAAAAAGGAATCTCAACGAAGATTTAACGGTTTCTATAGAAGACGCTATTTGCATTGCGTTATCAAAGCAAGATGATTATTGTCGATCAAGACATTGCATTACCTCAGAAGAGACAGCTATGCAATTATTATTTTTATCATTATCGATCAAGGCGATATATTATTTGGAGGTCGTCTTGCCGTTACTATCCACGGTGGCGATATAAATATTCATGCATCGCAGAATTTATACACTGAAGAATCATGCATCGCGGAATCATGCATAGCGGAATCATGCATAGCGGAATCATGCATCGCGGGAATCATGCATAGTGAATTCATGCATCGCGGAATCATGCATCGTGGAAATCATGCATCGCGAGTCAATAATTATGCATGACGAGAAGATTTTATGCCTCGTCAAAATTTATGCATCACGAGAAGACTTTATGCCTCGCTGGAATTATGTACGACGAGAAGATTTCATGCCTCGTCAAAATTTATATATCGCGAGAAGAATTTATGCCTCGCTGGAATTCATGCATAGCGAAAATCATGCATCGCGAAAATCATGCATTGCGAGTCAGTAATTATGCAAGACGAGAAGATTTTATGCCTCGTAAAAATTCATACATCGCGAGAAGAATTTATGCCTCGTTGGAATTCATGCATAGCGAAAATCATGCATCGCAGAAATCATGCATCGCGAGTCAATAATTATGCATGACGAGAAGATTTTATGCCTCATCAAAATTTATGCATCGCGAGAAGACTTTATGCCTCGCTGGAATTATGTACGACGAGAAGATTTTATGCCTCGTCAAAATTTATGCATCGCGAGAAGACTTTATGCCTCGCTGACAGTTATGTACGACGAGAAGATTTCATGCCTCGTTAAAATTTATACATCACGAGAAGAATTTATGCCTCGCTAGAATTCATGCATAGCGAAAATCATGCATCGCGGAAATCATGCATCGCGAGTCATTAAATTTGCACATCGCGAGAAGATTTTATTCCTCGCTGAAAGTTATGCATCGCGAGAAGATTCATATCTCGCGGGAATTTACATATTGCGGGAAGATATTTATGCCCCGCAAGAGGACGTACACGGATAAAGAAAGAGCAATATTTATCCATCGGCCTCAACCACATTCCTTATTTTGATAAAAGAAAACATCAAGAAGAGAATCAAAGATAACAACAAAAGAGACATCAATATCGCATCAACATTTATTTATCTATTTCAACATCAAGTATAGAGTACATTGAAGATTATTGTGCAAAGCACAAGGCATAAGCTTTATTTGCTGGACGTCAGACCGATCGAGTCGACGTCGAATACGGAGGAGAACAATGAAGTGTCGACACGGTAAAAAGACACTGTCTCCCATCCTAATTGCATTTTTTAAGCTGACGAGTTTTATCTCAGTCTTTGTCGAGAGCATCCAAAAGGATGAATTCTCCAAAACCCACAGGTGCGGATGACATCAAAAGGGATGCAGCACAACGTGGAACTTTTTTCTTAGCAGCGAACTGGGACACAGTCCAAAGAGGAATATCACACTCTTAGGACACCAGCAGAGGAGCGACTTCCACCACAATCGAACCACCCTTTCGAGTCATGTCAGTCTTTCTTTGATTCAGTCAATTTCAGTCTCGCATCCGGAAGTTTCGATTTATCAGAAGCAAGTTTCCAATCTTAGTGACAACTCGCCAAGAGCTTTGGAAATTATGTCCGTGTAAGTTCTTACCTACGGATGTGAAAAGATCCACATTAATGGTTAAGGGTTTACAAGCCTCTTTTGCATACTCGTTTAATTTGTCACTTGTCCAGAACTGAAGGTTATCTGGCATAATAGATTTCCTTCTCCACTGACTGAGTCGAACTACACACATCCTGATTCCGAAGGTTTAGGGATATGTAGGCGGATTCAATATTAAAACTCGGATGTATCCCAATATTCACTCTCGAATTCTATTCTCGAGCATTTCGGCGCCTTCATAATCCGGTATCGAAGTGGCTTTTTAATTCTATCAAATCGTGTGATAAATCAAGCTTATCAAACTACAAGTGGCGTGAATTCTCATATAGCCTGAGATATGTAGGAAACCCATTTGAAGGGTTCGGCCATAACTCCTAAACTCTTTGTCAAATCCTTCCTTTTAAAAGCGAATGGAATTGGTCAAAATTGGTTCGGTCAATTTCATTTTCCTCGAGTTGCTTGCATCAACCCAAGTAAAATGAGGGACAATTGTTGACACCCAATTTTTGACTCACGTTGGTATAAATTAATTATCAAGCTTCGTGAGTTTTTCAAATTATTTGAGTTAATTAGTTTGGTAAATCTTGCGAAAACGAAAGAATATATATATATATATATATATATACACACACACACACACATATATATATATATGTATATGTATATATGTATATCTTTAGTTTAGAAAGTATTCCATTAAACTAGTTTGCTTTAAATCACAACTATATTTTGAATCATTATTTTATAATTCAAATAGTTATGTTACGAAATAAATAGGCTCGTTAATGAATTTATACAAAATTCGTTTTAAATCAATTGGCCATTATTTAAATTTAACTCTTTCCTTTAATCCTTTTGAAGAACTGAATTCAGGCCCAACCTCCTTCAATTTCAATCCAACCCAATTCAAACCCAGCGGCCCATTTCTCAATTCTCAGGCCCATCTCGAATTGCCCCTCAACCCAACCCATTTCCCTTTTGATGTGCAAGAGCACATGCGGGCCTCCTCTCCAAAATCCGGCGGCCCACTCCCCTTCTCTCCCAATTTCGGCCCAAGTTTCCAACCCCTTTGTGATTCCTCACCCAGGCCCAAATCCCTCAATCTTTACCCAATCCCACTTTATCAATTAAATCTAGCCCAAAACACAACTCCAGCCCATCTTTTAACCCAACCAACCTCTGACCCGACCCATTCCCTCCTCTTTCCCCCTCCTTCGTCCCCAAATTCCCAGGCGCCATTCTCAGAGAAAAAAAACAAAATTCCCAGAAAAGAAAAAGAAACGCGGAAGAAACAGACCCAAAAATGGAAACGCGACCCCCCACGCTCTCTCCCCCTCGCGTCTCTATCCTTCTCTCTCCCTCTCTCCCGCGTCTTCCTCACGCGTCCCCCTCACTCTCATCCTCTCTCCCACGCTGCTGCGCAACGGCTCTTTGGAGTCGTCCTCGCCTGCAGTTCGTACGCAGCCTCCCAGTGAGCACAAGGCGACAAGCGTTTCGTCCTTGTTAGCTGAGATCGAGCCACGTAGCTCGCAAGGACAACGATTTCATCTCAGCCCTCCACCTCGCCTCAAACTCCCTTCCCGCTCGAAATTTCATATAAGATTTTGAGATTTTGAATTGGAATGGGCCGGAAACTCTTGCAACCCATCCAAATTTCGAAACCCTAAATCGTCTTCCTATATAAACCCCCACCCTAGACCGAAAAGGGGGTTGGAAATTTTGGGTGGGAATTTTTTTTTCGAGATTTCTAAGATTGAAAATTGGGAAATTCTGAAAAAGGAATTGAGCTATTCTGTTTGTTGTTAGATTTTTGGAAACATTTTGGTTTTTTCTACTGTTGGTTATCGGAAGAACTAAGGAAGTCGGATAAATTTTAGAGTGAAACACTCTCTTTCACCGACGAGTGTTTAATAGTGGTGTTCCGGTGAAGCGTCGTAGCAACCTCGACACCTCTCTCTAGTTTGAGGGTGGAAGCTCATTCGCGTTCGCGGTGGTGGAAGTTCGTTGTTTCCTTTTCCTGCTTACCCGTCCCAGTTGCTGCTCTCGAACAGGTAACCTCTCCACTCAATACTATTTTTTCGTCTCCCTTCATCTTGAAATGGTTTCGTCTGTCGATCATTGCTTTGTGAGCTGCTGTTGGTCCTATCTGTTATGAACTACTGTGATTTGTTGAGTTCGTTCTGGTTCGTTTCTGTGTTTTATGGCTGTCAAAGAAGTTTACTCTGCTTTCTGAACTTGCCGCTCCATCTTGTATGGGAGTCCTTGCATCCGTTCTGTTGTTCCGAGCATGTTTATTATGTTTCTTTAGTGCAAGTCTTTATTTAGTTCTTGACATGCTTCATTTGCGTTGAGGTTTGCATAATAGAGAATGGTACCTTGTGCTCTTTAATGTCGAAGTTTAGAGTTTTCGGTGACATGAATGATAGAAAGGGATAATCCCCCCCTTAAGCTAGGTCTGTCGTTGGTTATTATTCACTGTTGAAGGGGCCTTTTAGTGGCGTTTTTCATAGGTGAAACTATGTTAGCTGTTTATTTCTTTTCTTCCTCTTTCTCTCTCTTTCATATCACAAGTCCGAGTCAGCGAGCTTCTTGATACGTTTCATATGTGTCTAGGGTTCATTTGGATCAGCCTCTCTGTCTTGTATGGCGGAGGTAAGGCTGAGGCTTCCATGGCTGGATGGTTTGACATGATGAAATGTTGTTACATGGTGTGTATGTTGAAGTGATTAGCTGTTAGGTGCTGTTATCTATCTGTTTTAAATTTCAAAAGAATTCTATTATACTGTTTGCTGAAGTTCATTTTCCATGTCAAAGAGAGATTTCTATTTCGTCGAGTTCGGAAATCCATACATGTGCTCTTCACCTACTATTAGCTCTCTTTGGTTGGAAATATTGTGCTATACAGTTGCTCTTTCTGCTTTGAGTTTACTGTGTCGTGCTCAATCTAACTTCCTTTTCTCAAACATGTAGAGTTTATCATAAAATATACATCTCTATTAGTTTCTTTTATCTTCAGTTACTTGCTTTTTGTGGTTTCATATGTGATGTTTTTTTTTATTTGTCAAGCTGTTTATATTCATGCTTTCTGGAAATTACAGAAATTATTATTTCTATAACTTACACCATTTTGATTACTACATTATTGTTATGTTGTTGCTGGTTATTTCCTATCCTTCTTTTT